TTTAAAAACTTCTCATTACTTTACCTTTCTTTCAAAAAGAAACAAATGGATGATCTTGCCGAGGTGTATCCTGAGTTGAATGTCCCTGGAAGTGCTCCTAATGATGTGTACTCCCATGTAATGGGATCAGACACTCATGGAATTGTCTGAACTCTAGGAAAAGGAGCATCTCCTAGCATAGTATATGACCCGTATATAAACTATCTCAGGCTGAAAAAAGAGATTTTGATACAAGGGTTGAGATGGAAGTTCAAAAAGCTACCTCAGCTATGAAAATTGAGATGACAGAGAAGATGTATGAAGCAAAAAAAGAGATGGAAGCGATGGATAAAAAGTTGTTAGAAGCGAAAGAGGAAGCAAAAGAGAATAACGAAGTGATGGAGAGAAAATTATCGGAAGCAAAAATGGATATGGAAGAAATTATAGCGGATAAAGTGAAGGAAGGAATACAAGCATATGTAGAGTCTTTGGGAATTAATATTGATGCAAATTTAAAATCAGAGCAGGTGAAATAATTGTGTTGCTCACAAAAAATTACTTTTTTTAGATGAAAACTTAGTTTCTCTTAATTATAATAGTCTTCCTCTTTTGCAATAGGTTCCTGATAACCCACTTGAAGATTGTCAACAACCATCATCACTTGTTCCTAGTGTTCACACAAGAAAGGTTAGAGAAAATTTCATTAAAATTTTGAATTTTATTTTAATTGCGTAAATTCTAACATTTATATGATCATGAGATCAACTAATTCCTCTTTCTTGTTTAATATGGATTAATCGACAAACAGTTAATTGTGTGTCATGTACACATAAATAGTCTAAGTGATCATCTTTTTCTTTTGGTTGTTGTTGTTGTTGTTTTTTAGTTGGTATAGTGAAATAAATTGTGTTAATTTATCATATTATTTCTAGTTTTCACCACAAAAGCTAAAACGCCTAATCGTACACACTCCAAATAGAAGCCTCAAAACCCGAACCAAACATCATTCTAAACCAAAAGGACCCAACTGTAGCTAATGGAACTGACGGAATTTTGATTCGACATCAGAATCTTCGGATGTTGACAAAAGTCAACTCTTTCATGCATTAAGCCTCCAAAATTGAAAAACTTGCACCAAAGACTATGTGTCCTGATCATACTCATCCTCAGAATGTATCATTTCATAATCTGTATTTATGTTCATATTGACCAACTTGAACCTGTACCTCTTGCCCCTTATTCTCTTATGTCCCTGCTGCTTGTTGTTGCCTTCTTTTGATCGCATCTCTCTTCTTTTCGCTTAGTTGGCCCTGAGATTTGCTGTTGATAGTTTGCCCTTGCTTTGTGCCCCCACTATCTTGTATGTTCTGTTCCTATTCTCTCTAATGAACATTCTTTTTTCTGATTCTTTTTTTGAGTGTTATGAGAAGTATTAAGATTACTCTGTTGATCATTATGTTTACTGTGTCCCTGACCGAAAACCTTTCCCTGATGGATGAGTTGATTGTGCTCATTCTATTGTGTGGTCTGATGAGAAGTGGTAGTAGAATCTCTAGGGTCTTTCTTAGGGTCAGTGTGTAAATTCTCATGTATATCATGATGCAGAAACCCCCCTTTGGATACCCCTTCCTGCAAGTTAGTAAAATTCTCCTTCAACCCTCCATCCAACACTCCAACAGCTTCCACAATAGTTAAACAATTATCTAAAGGGGTGAGGGATAATGGGAGCATTGATTCAATACCTGTGATCTTAGAGGCCTTTGTATTTCCTTCTTTGTCCATGTCTGCAAGTACATTAGGCATAGAGGGAGGATTTTGGGATATAGGAGTTGGTAACACATAATCGGTTTAAAATGTAGGCACCAGATCAGAACCATTTATTATTGTAGTGATGAAGTGCTTTCCTAAATCTGCCAACTCCCACGTCATACAGGCAGCTGCACAACACTAACACAGTAACGATAAAGGAAGGAAAAACACATCAGGACATTGGAATTCATGGGCAAAGATGTAAGAGATGCTAATTTATCAAGGAGACACTAGAAATGTATCCGATATTAAAATTGTAGGCACGACTCAAAATGGAAAAGAAACTATGATATTATACAACCTCAACATATCCAAAATCATTAGAGTAGCACTTCTAGAACACAGGTCATTTCCTCAATTTTATAAATACCAAAAAATCAAAATGACAGAATCAACATATCACCACACGAATAAAGATAGTATAACTAGTGCAAATAGTTTAGAGTACTAAACTACTAATAGAGCATAAAAAGAAGTACAAAGTCTAAACCAGGTAGCGAAGTCCACTTCCTTCCTTATATAGGACCACAGTCAAGTAAAGGAGATTGAAGATTTCACTTTCTTCCTGGTCAAGGGATAGAGATGTAGACTTTTTCAAGGATTTTCACTTTGTTTTCTTGTGTTTTCCCAGCCGCTGCCTTGTCTTCATTATGTATTTTTGCCTGTACCTGGACTGTTTGGCAGATCTGGTTCAACAAGATCAATATAAGAGCTATGTGTAATAATATTTTTACCTGTATGACTATGATTTTCTGGGAATTGCTTGTGCAGCTTCAGTTAAGTTTGCTTAATATTCATGTGCTTAACTCTAGATACTTAAATATGAGTCTAAGCTACGTTAGCAGACCTAACCAACAGTTACTGAAAATGTGCTAACCAAAGTTGGCTTTATCCTTAAAGAGTACCAATCTGGTGAAGTACTTTGCCTCTGGGATACTTCAATTGTTATATTCAAGAAGCAGATATTAGTTGTTGCTAAAGCATTTCTGATGCAAAATACCTTGTCTGAATTTCCAAAAATTGTGAACCAATTACAAATCGAAGTTGCAGATGCCTGATGGTTACCTGTGCTTTACATAGAGCTTTACTTAGGGTCAATTACAATTCTTTGATTGACTTTTGTTGTCCTTTGCCTACTCTCTTTTTATTCTTTGACTCTATGCGTGAAGTCAAGTCGTGGTGTAGCTATTGTTTTTCTTTATCATTGGTTCAATCAGTCGAGGATGTACGAACTTGGTTGCCCTTCAAATGAAAGACAGTTCGTCACATAATATTAATTGTGTTGTTGCAATAGCTTTGGTTCTTCTTTAATACTAAATATTAGCTTGTTGTTATCTCTTGAATCTATTGGATTATGGTAAAATAATCTCTACAACGTAGGACGAGACACATTCACAAACATTAGTCATTGTCCTCGTATATGTTTGAGCTTCTAATCCAAGTCCAATTGAAAAAGAAGATAATTTAGTTCTGCTTTAGGAATTGTTGGTGAGCAATTCACTTTTCTCAATACAAACAAGCTGCTTTGTTTGGTATTTTAAACCACATAAATAATGAACATAATCCTCGGGTTTGATGTCATAGATTAAGCCTGGATCACCTCATGTGCTGCTGGAACAACCTGTGGTTCGGTAGAGATATTGAACCCTCGCAATTCATCGTTCATGAATATCATTCCAGCACCACTAGCATCCTTCACATGATGTCCCTTATCAATTCTAGTAACATTACCATCAGATATACACAATACAAATTTTCCTTTGACATTCATATTCTCCAGTGCCTCTGCGCTGCAAAATGCATCATTGACATTTCTAATCAGTGGTAACAGTGTCTCGGAGAAGTCTTTGGGTTGGAATCCTGATTCCCCATCAATTTCTTTTGCATCACCAAGACATATTGTGGCTCTTAGTTTTCTATCAGTAGTGCTTGCACCAACGGTGAGAAGCCATGGATCTCGATTATTTACAGTGCCTGGTAGTGGACCTATATTTCCAGCTGAACAACTAACAATTAATTTGTTGATTCTCTTGTTGCTTTTTTTTACTTTCCTTCCAGAAAAATTGGCACACTTATGTATTCACTGAAATGTTAAGTTTTGTATTTCATAAAGTATCAAAATAATCAATTTAATGTTTTTTCTCAGGCTAACATGATAAGAAGACTGGAACTAGCGTAGTTGGCACAAATAAAAAGAAGTGGGTATGTTTGAAAAAAACTACAAGATCTTTCTTTTCTTTCAAAAGGAGGAAAATTTCATGTATATAATTACTGCTTTTGCATCAATTCCTTAATATTTTTATTTTTAGAAAAATTCAATTAGTCATTTTTAATATCCCAATTTGTTCTAGTTAATGGGGATCTAATTTCTATTATCATATAGTTATAAATTTTCTTATGTGCATTTCTTGTGCAGAATTTTTAAGGAAATTGAGGTCAAGTATCAACTTCAACATGCTCGACTTTTGGATTGATGATTTCATAAAGATTTATTGCAAATTTACAGGAGATTTTAATTCCATTCGAATTAGAAGTTAATTAGTTGGTTTTATGTTGAGATTATTACATTTAGTTAGATCTCAATTTTACTTGAGATAGAAAAGATAATTTGTTTCGACATTGTTTACTTTTACAGGAAACTTATTATGTTGCTATTTTGTTCTTTGATTATAATATTAGAAAATATTTGCTTTATATAATATTTCTTGCTTATCATGAAGAAGATAGTTTTTGAATGCACAGATTGTTTGTATGTATTTGTGTCTTAAGAAAAACTATATATAGATTTTTCTGTGATGTTTAAAGAAACTTGGTAGCGACGTTAGAATATTAATATGACATTTAGCAAAATATAAAATAATGTCACCAATTTTTATGACATTTAATAATAGCATTTGTTGACATTAACTAAAGTGTCAGAAATTTCAATGTGACATTTTATAAATGTCACGAATAAGTGTCTTGAAATTTGTTTTCCCAACATTTAATCTAAATGTCAAAAAGTTTAAGTGACATTTCATAAATGTCGAAAAAATAAAAGTCAATTATCTCATATCGACATTTACTTAAATGTCAAAAATAAATGTCATATATTTCATACCGACATTTACGTAAACGTCAAAAATAAATGTCATATATCTCATACCAACATTTTACCTAATTATCGAAAATAAATGTCATATATATCTCATATCGACATTTACCTAACTGTCAAAAATAAATGTAATATATCTCATACTGACATTTACCTAAATGTCGAAAATAAATGTCATATATCTCATACCAACATTTACCTAATTATCGAAAATAAATGTCATATATATCTCATATCGACATTTACCTAACTGTCAAAAATAAATGTAATATATCTCATACTGACATTTACCTAAATGTCGAAAATAAATGTCATATATCTCATACCAACATTTACCTAATTATCGAAAATAAATGTCATATATATCTCATATCGACATTTACCTAACTGTCAAAAATAAATGTAATATATCTCATACTGACATTTACCTAAATGTCGAAAATAAATGTCATATATCTCATACTGACATTCACCTAAATGTCAAAAATAAATGTCATATATCTCATACCAACATTTACCTAATTATCGAAAATAAATGTCATATATATCTCATATCGACATTTACCTAACTGTCAAAAATAAATGTAATATATCTCATACTGACATTTACCTAAATGTCGAAAATAAATGTCATATATCTCATACCAACATTTACCTAATTATCGAAAATAAATGTCATATATATCTCATATCGACATTTACCTAACTGTCAAAAATAAATGTAATATATCTCATACTGACATTTACCTAAATGTC